CTTATTATGGAAGACAGAGTATCTGAATTAAAAAAATCATATGAAGACTTCACTTACAAATACCACAGTAAATAGTTATTCATTCCTTGAAACATTTCAAATGACCTTTTAAAATGGGCAATAGATGGAACTCTATGATGTTTAGGTAGAAAACAATCCTGTAACTGCTTCATGCCCCAGGCAATCTGGCTGGTGGGTGGAGGGGTGCTGGGAGTTGCTTAGACAGAAAAAAGTCCTACATGCACAGGATTATGCATTAAAGTAGATAGTTCCATTCTTCTGTTCAGTTTGCAGACAGCAGGGGGTGCACATAAATGCAGATGAATTAACAAACTAAACATTCATAACCCAAACCATTTTAAAGATGAAATTTTAAATATGCACATTTCCCCGTTGGCTTCTAGGGGATGACACAAGAATATGGAGCATTGTATTGTACTAACAAGAGTTAATTTAAAGTGTGATTGGAGCATTTATTTTATTATGGATAGCTAAAATGTCCATATTGACAATTCTATTGTCAACATAAAGATTCTATTTTCAAAGTGACGAGATGCACTTGAGACACTGTGAAAATGGAAGTGGCTTTATCTCAGTATACAAACTTTGACAATAAGAATGTATACTCAATATGTTAACAGTCAGTGGGAGAAAGCAAAAAACAAAAAACCTGCATTTGACAAACATATGATTGACTATCCCCATGCCTGTGGCCATCTAAAAATACATTTCAAGAAACATTTCTTCACTAAAGCTTGTTGTGCTGTAGCATGGCACTCTCTTTTTTGACTAAACAGAAGCACAAGTACTAGATATATGGCTCTTTGTACTGAAACAGCTTATCCTAATTTGGTGCCCACCAGATGTTTTGGCCTACAACCACTATCATCCTTGGTTTTTCATTATGCTGTCAGGAGTTGTAGCCAAAACATCTGCAGGACACCATGCTGGGAAGACTGCACTAATACGAGTCTTAACTTTAATGTATAAACAAACATAAGCCACAAACTGTTCAAGGATTCTTGATCATTAAAGTAAAAGTTGTCAAGAAGCTAAGACATGCTTGAAAGCTTCATTAATCATTTCTCTCAATAGGCCAGTGATATATCATACCCTAGCCTATGTCCAACATTTTGGTTCCCATCTGAAATGCTTTTCATAAGAAATTCTTTGAAATCACCTTCCAAGTATGCACAAAAGGAAAGTAGCAAGGTATCCAATGTTTCCTGCAGTACACACACTTTCAGTATATTGCTACTCAAAGACAATCTACAAATAATTTGTGTGCAAAGAGAGCTCAGTTTTGTTCTTAATAAGCGGTGATTTGCTGAGCAGATTTTAAACCAGAAGTTGGCTTGCATCATATTGATGACATGTAAAAACAAAATTCAAACCTGAAAAATCCTCAATTATGTTCCATTGTCATCATGCTTCATTTTGTTGTGCCTTACTTTGTGAAATAATGTTTTATATGCAACTGTCTTTAAAATGTTGATAATTCAGAATTCTCTCTTTCTAAAGAACCATATTACTTTAAGCAATATCTTATTATTTTCATCTGTCCGCCATCCAATGAGACACTGAATATTATCAGCAGTGGACCATGTAGGTAGCCCACTGCTCATAAAGACGAAGAACTGCCTATTAAAAGTACATCAAAACTTAACACATAAGTTTTAGAAAGCAACCGTTTATGGATCTAAGTACAGAGATGGTCCAAATCTTGAAAGAGAGCAAATATTTAAACAAAGTCTTATGGAAATTTAAAGGCTGCCCATTTTTTCTGACATAAGCTTTCACAAACATCAGATGCATTAAGAATTAACTTCACGTTATGAGATTTATGATCATGAAAGCTGACAGGAAGAAAATTGAAGCATTCAAAACATAGTGCTAGAGGAGAGTTCTGCAAATACCGTAGCCTAACAGAAAGACAAACAAGTGGATCTGAGATCAAATCAAGCCAGAACTTGCCCTGGAAGCAAGAATGACAAAACTGAAGCTGTTGTACTTCGTCACATTGTAGGAAGGTATGACTCAGTGGAGAAAACAATGAAAAGCAGAAGAGAAGACCCAACTATGAGATGGATCATTTCTATAAAGAAAGACACAACCTTGAGTTTACAAAATAAAAGTTAAATGTACAGGCTAGAAAGGCAGGTGGCAGAAATACGAACAGTGATCTGGTCCATATTGAGCAGTCCACTGTGGATTATTAGCCAGATTAATCTGGCAAGGAAGATTTGTTGGGATGACTGACAAACCACCCAAAATACATGGGCTGTTTCAGGATTGTGGGTGACTTGCCAATTTCCCGCACACACGCTTACTGATTTCACATATAATGAGAAGCTACAGCATGCTCCTGCTGGCCCCAAATATTGAAATCATAGCTGTTGCTGTAAAACTCCAATAAAAAAATTCACTCACAGTAATTTATCACTGCATGAACAAAGCTTGTGCATAAACTGTGTTGTCAGAAGAAACTGAAATGCAAGAAATTCAGATAGTAATAATTATCTTAATAGTAGCCTTAACATTTTATGTACCTGATGAAGTGGACAATGTTCACAAAAGCTTATGCCAGAATAAATGTGTTAATCTTGAATGTTCCACAAAATGGTTTTTGCTGCAAAAATACTAGATGGTTAGCCCTCTGGAAATCATAGGTGGTATAGTTTTCAAACTATACCATGTTCCAGTTCATCCCTGCTTCATCTAAAATGATTTAATGATTCAAAACACCCACACATTAGTTCCAAGAGACTACCAAGCTTGCAGCAAAATAGATTATTTTACCATAGTGATATCCATTCATTACTGCAACACACACAGGAACTTCCAATGGAATTCAACAGATGAGGATGCTCACACACTTCTCTCTGGGCCAAAACACACAACCACAAACTTCTGAAAAAATAAATGAAAACTTCTACTCCATGTTTGTTATTTGATCCAGCCATTTAGATAATCTTTTAATTATTCAGGAGGATTCTAAACAGTTTTAAGAAAAGAAATTTCTAGAGCATACATTTTGTGGCTGACCTAGTTCTTTACTCTGCACAGTTTCTCAAGGGATGTTGTCAATGACTGTTCATTAGAGAGCCAAATGCCTTGCCAAGCTTTAACTAGGAAGATATTCCAGCTCCATGACTGAATGAACAAAAGGTTCATCCCATTTCCGATTCATAGTTTAAATTCCTACCAACAGGAAAGTAAGTCCATTCAGCACAGGTAGGCTAGCTGAAAAGGCTGACAGCCAGAAAAGCCACTCCATTCAGTACAAATAGGCTGCTGAAGAGCCTGACAGCACAAATCTAATTCTATCCATCTAATTAAGATGCACACTCAACCAATTGTGACATGTGTCTATGTGTTGAGCCCTTAAGATGTAGTTTTACAGCTACACATTCAAGGTGAACTGCACTTCTTGGCCACAATAGTTGAGAACCTTTTAGTTGAGAACCATTTAGTTACTATACACATCAGTTCTATTGTGTGTAACAGCAGTTTTCTTTAATGGATATTTCACTATACTGTATTTCAGACTTCATGTATCAGCACAGCAGCAATACTCCTTTACTATCTTCTAAGGCTCACCATGTCCACATAAATATTGGAAAGATGTGCTTGCACGGAGATTTTCATTATTAGATCCTGGTCAAACATTAGCGCTATTATACAACTATTTGCAAAAAGCAATTTCTGAAAAGCTCCAGCTTTTAATAAAAATTGATGCCTTCTTTATATCTTTTTCATGAATACTGTGTTCCCACTTTTCTTGAAATATACTGAGAAGGATTTTTATTTGAGAATGTTAAACAGCACTAAACAGAGGAAGCCTAGAACTAAAGCCTTTAAGATTAAAAAGGCTTTGATTCTATAGTGATAGTACCACATGAAATCTTTTCTAAGTATATTCCTAGAAATAAGTAACATACCCAAGGTTTCACTTTTATAAATATGAGTACATCAAAAGAGGGATATCCTCTACATTAATAGTATGTAAGCAATTTATAATTTGTTCTTAGTACAAAAATAAGGAGACTTAAGCAAAACCTGATTCAGATTTTAAAACACTATACCAGCACCTCAAGGGTTCTATAGTTTGAACTGTGTCCCTATTCATCTAAGACCATGAGATAAAGAATACTGTCTCATTTTAAACATACTCAGTTTCACAGTTCTCATGTTTCTAAATTTAGCCAGAGGAAAAATATTATTGCCCACAGATTGTGGGGAGCAATACCCCAAATGGACACTAAAACTATTAGGGCAACAAGTGAAATCTGATGAATGGTAAGATTGAGAGGAGGAGAATTATGTAAGCCCCTTTGAGTGCCTTGAAAGGAAAAATGGTAGGATATAAATATAGTAAATAAAAGATAGTTTGATGTATGCAAAAATTACTGCCTTGCCAAAATGTCTTTCCTTCTTTTCCAATTCTGCATAGGTTTGTTCCCTACACCAAATATGTCATCCACTAGCAGAACTTCATTACATTCAATTGTGCTGCTGACAATTTTACTACCATGAGAAAAGGTACAGTCAAAGGTGTTTTAATAATGTTTCTGTGGTCATTATTTTACTGAGCCAAACAAAAATGCCTGTGCAACAGATTTTTTTTTCTAACTGCTCTCCCACATCCAAGAATGACTTGTCTGCCAGACCAAGTTACAGGAGACTGAGCAAGTTACTTATCATTATTAAATAAACAGAACATATATAAAATGTGCAATGCAGAAAAGAACAGGGTGTTAAATTTTGTAGGCTGCCAGTTTGTGACACAGCTTCTACTAAAGACAGGACTTGCAACTGGAAATGGGGGAGAGAAAGAAAAGGACAAAGCAAACATTATCAGGAAAAAATCACAAACTCCTTCAAAAGGAATTGAAACTAAATTTTACTAGTCACCTGTTCCCTGTTATCAGACACCCGAATGTGTGCACAACACAACAGACCGTATGCCCTAGGCTCTATATTTGCAAGTTGCCACTTACCCAATGCAAGTAAAACTTGGCTCTGGTTGGAGGAGGTAGCAAAGATTTTGTAAAGGGTAGGAACAAGTTCTTTTCAATAGCCTTAAAAAAACCCTAAAGAAGAGACTTAGTTGGTATTGTCGGCTACTGGTACTCTGTGTACATTACTAGGCTATTAACTTGTTTGGATTTATACTCAAGGTTCTCCTGCCCCAAGGGAAGAAAGGCATTCACGCACCAACTCGGGCAAATTGTGAGGAAGCAAAGCACTTAGCCTTATATCCATTATGACGGCAACACCAGTCAAGCCTAGAGAGCTAAATTATAGAAAAATATTATTATCCACATGCTAAAGATCAGACTTTTTAAGAAAAAGTGCTGCGCTATCGGAACATTTACTACTAGCGTCCGAAAGAGAGTGGCTGATGGACCTGGAAGGAGATAAAAAGCATTACTTTAAGCCCGTGCGCATTCAACTATTCAGAAACACGCTTGTCTACACGCTAAGCTTTTGCAAACCTCTCTCTCGCATCCCACAGACTCAACTCACCCACCCTGCTTAACCCTAACTGCAATACAGTCCGAGACGAGAAGCTATAAAGGGCAAAGGATTATCACCTCCTTTGACTCCTGGAACACACAAACAGTTTGTGAGACTCGCTCAAGCTGGCTCGGGGGGAGGGGAGGAGCAGGACCTGCCTGGGGTCCCACCCCGGGATGGTCACGAAGGCAAAGGAAGCCGACAGGGCCAACGGTTCGCACACGGGCACCGGCGGAAGGGGAGCAGCGCGCTGCAAGAAAGGGAGCCGGGAAAGGACGCCCGCAGAGCCGCCGCACTCACCCCGCAGCTCTCTCAAGGCGCGCCTCCGGTCGAAGCAGCGGCTCCACGTCCCTCGGCGACTCAGCGGAACGGCCAGCCCGAATCCGGCATTTATCCCGCCCGCCGGCGAGAGAGCGCAGAAGCGGCGAGGCGCCACCCGCGCCTCCCCCTTCCTGCACCAGCGCCGCCTCCGCCTCCGCTACTCCGGCTCCACCATATTCCGCCCTTTCTCGAAACGCGGAGCCGCAAGAGGGCCTCGGTGCTCGGAGTGGAGCGCCGCCCTCGGCCGCCCCTTGCAGGAGGAAGGTCTGCTGCGCCTTCCCTCCCACGAGCGCGCGCACGAAAGGGGACGAGGCGGGGGGACTTGCTCGATGGGGGAACGCCCCCCGCCCCGGTTTCCATAGAGGTCGGCCAGGGCGCTTGAGCCCCAGAACCTCTTATCCCTCGGCGCCGGGGAGAGAAGCTCGCACACTTGGCTTTTCCTCTCGTTCACACGCGATCATTTCGCCTCCCCAGGCTTCGAGAGTTTTATAACAAGATATTTTAATTAAATTCTGTTTATAGTTCCTCACTACAAGGCAATATAAAGGAGTAATATCTATCAAGGGAACAACCGTAAAAGTAACGTGTTACACGACTTCAAGTTAATGACTTTTAAAAATAAATTACCTTGTAAATTGCTCCTGCTCAGGATGCAAACTAGCTATGCTCGTTTTTCAGAATACTGTAGTCCATAAACACACACACGGGCGCAATTTCTGTGTTTTCCCCCAACTGACAACATTTTATGCTGGCTCAGCATATTCAAGTCCTTATTAGGCTGATTTGGGTTCTCTGTTTCTACGTACTCATTGTTGCTCCCAATGTGCTCTGGCTAGCTTTTGGGCATGACTGATACTCCTTTGGCCTCAGAGCAGGGATTACAAGTCCCATCAAGGGCAGATATTTTTACCTGCTCTGTTTTGCCTCCCTACTTCCAAAGAGTCATCAGGGATGCTTTCTGAGTAATGGAGACAAAACTTGAAATAAGGCAAAGAACTGAAATTTTCTGTCCTGCATTAGGACAGTGGCAATGTCAGAAACTGGCTTTGGCTGCTTTTGAAATGGCTGTCTTGTGCTTTGGGCAGAAGTGACTCTTTGGGAAGAGCTAAGGCCCAAATAGGGAAGGAAAGGGATTTGGAGAGTGTGCGGCAGCCCAACAGGAAAGAACAAACCTACCTAGCAAATGATGTACCTAGGCATACTGCCTCAGAGAACAGAGGTAGCATATAGCCCTCAAGCCTAGTAGGCATTGATAGTCTTCCCCATGAATTTATCCAGTCACCTTTTAAAACTATCCATATTGGTAGCCATCAGGACTTCTTGTGGCAGTGAATTCCACAATGTAATTATGTTCTATGTGAAGAAGTACTTCCTTTTATCTGTCCTGTATCTCTTTCAATTTTTCAATTGAAAATTCAATTCTTCGGACAGTTACTAATCTAAAGCAGGAACTCACCGTTTATTCCATGACTGCCAAGACAGCTCAGTAGTCTAGGGTCAGGTACATCAGCCAGAGCCTTTTGAAGTGAACAGTGTCTACTGGATCACCAATATTTACATATTTATTGACACTAATACATTACTAATGTATTAGAGTTCTTTGAAAGACTAGATGTAGAAGCGACATGGCTTCTACAAGACTTTCTCATCAGGTCATGTCCCTCTATATGCTTACTGATTCTATATTTAATGCTTTAATCAATCTACCCAGAACAGACCTTAAGCTAACTTGCCTGTACTTTCAAAATCCCCACCACCACCACCACCACCACAACATTCCTTCTTAAAAGTTGGTGTTACATTGGCAATTTTCTAATCCTCTGTTCAGAGGTTGATCTTGGGACATGTTTCATATTTTGGTAAGAAAGCCAGCAATTTCATATTTTAGTTCTTTAAGAACGCTAGGATGGCAATCATTTGGATCAATGATTGATCAACATTCAGTTTATCAATAAGGTTGAGCAATCCTTGGTCAACACCATAAGGAAAGGCTGAGCGTCAAAGAATTGATGCTTTTGCATTGTGGTGTTGGAGTCTTCTCCACAAGAGATCGAATCAGTTAGTCCTAAAGGAAATCAACCCTAACTGCTCTTTAGAAGGTCAGGTACTGAAGCTGAAACTCAAATACTTTGGCCAGCTAATGAGAAGGAGGGACTCCTTGGAAAAGACCCTGATGCTGGGAACAATTGAAGGCAAAAGGAGAGGGGGATGGCAGAGGTTGAGGTGGCTGGATGGGATCACTGGAGAGGTAGGTGTGGGCTTGGGTGTACTCTGGGGGATGGTGGAGGACAGGAGAACCTGGAGGAAAGAGTTGGGCATGACTTTGCGACTGAACAACAATAATGATGCTACATGACGCTGCCCTTGAAGACCTTGTGCCTGGTTCAAACTGTGTGAACCCAGAATTCCAAGTGTGAACAAGGTCTTCATTCATATTACAGTATCGTGTATCAGTTGCAATGGCTACCTATTTGTTTCTGTGCCTAATTCAAGATCAGTGCATGGACCTAACATTAACTCTGCATTTAGTTTGGATGCCTTGAAATCATTAACTGATGGTTCAGAGTATTTGAGTTTAATTGCAGTTTGTCTTTTCATGCTTTTGGAACATTGAATGCTGCACTAAGCAGAACTTGATTTTAGGAGTGTTTTAGCAGTATAAACATTAATACGGGCTGGAATACAAAGCCCATATGTAGTAGCTGACAGACTTCAGTGTACTTGCAAGGAAGCTCACTCTATGACTTGGGGTCAATTCCTCACTCTCAGCCCAGCCTATCTCACAGGGTTGCTGTTGCAAGTGAATATGGAGCTATGTAAGCTTCCTTAGGTTCCTCACAAGATGAAAAAGTAGTATACAAATGCAATGTAAGAATGTTTTTGTGTGTAGTTTGACTTATTACAACTTCTTAATAATAATCCTAACTCTCATTTAGGAATTTTAAAAATACACATCTGTTCATGCTGTACTAAAAGTAATGATCTTCATTTATATATACTAGTGTTTTAATAAATTGGATTGACTATACATTTTTATTTTATGTCTTAACATTTATAACCTTATTTACTAAACAACCATCAAGGTGGTAAACAACAATTTAAAACACAATAAAAAGATAAGAGAAAAAGAATGGAATTCGGAAAGAGTACCTGGTCACCCAAGAAGGTCTCCTGAAACAAAAGTGTTTCCAGGAGTACCAGAACAGCACAATATTGGTGCCCACCTGATCTCCAGAGGCAGGAGTGCCACGGAAATGGAGTAACCACACTGAAGGCTTTTCTCCATATGGGCTCCAGAAGGGCGATTGGTCCATGCAGAACCACCAAGAATTTGACTGGGCAGGCTAATGGAGAACACTCTTCCTCAACTATCCTGGGCCCAAGTTTTTAAGGGCTCTGTAACCTAGTTACAAACCTTTAAACCTACTTCCGTAGAAAATAGGCATCTAGTGCAGTTCTCTCAACAAAGGAGTTGCATGCTGAAAGGAGACGGAGTCTAACAACAGTTGAGCTGCTGTGTTTACTGACCCTCCCTCCCTCCATTACTCCGTGTGTGTGTGTGTGTGTGTGTGTGTGTGTGTGTGTGTGTGTGTTTATGGGGGAGGGGAAGGAGGTGTAAAACAGTGCAACAGGAGAGCAACAAGCAGGATCTGGATCTGCTATGGATGCAGTTAGACTTCCATTAAAATATATAAGATAGGCAGATTAACAACAGAGTAATTACAAATATTTTTAGTGCTAAGTGTTCCAGCTTCTGTTTTCATCAGTAGCTGTGATAGCAACCGAATACCAAGAGATATCAATTCCAAAGAAAAAGCAGAGATCTCGGTGGTATAAAGCATATGAATTGTCCCCCTGGTTAAAGCCATTTCGACTAAGAATCCTAAGTCAGTAGATGCAAAGTCTTCCTTTTTGTCAAGTGTTCAATGTCTTTTGATTGTTCTGTTGGATGCAATTGTGAATCTGAGAGACTATGTGCTGCTCCATTAAAGTGTCTCTCTAGTGGTGTTACTGTTTGTTTGCTTTGAACAAGAATAGCATAGTTGCAGTAACAGAAACTTGTTTTTAGGTCTATTGCAGTTCTTCCTACGTGTTGCACATGGCATTTTAAAGACTTGGTTAAATGGAACACTTTAATGGAAATAATTCCAGTTATTGTCTAACACAATATGTTCCATTAGTAACTGTGTACTTAAAAGAAGCAGTTTCTTGAAGGTAAATGCAGGTAATTCAATAGGCTAATGCTTTGAAAGAAAATCATGTTCCATTTTTTTATAGACTGTTAGCTTGCTACCCCTAAATGCTACCAGATTATGAAAGAGAATTATCCTATTCGATGCTATTTTGCTCATTTAGCAGTAGGTGATAATCAACTACCTTCTGTACATTCTGTCCAGAAAACCACCCAATTTATACAAATTTCTAGTGAAGACAGCATTCAAATAAGGTATTTGCAACCCAGGATCAGACCAATGTAAATCAGCCTATTACATTCTAAACGGGGACTCAGAATGTGTTTAGTGTTTAAACTTGGAAACATTTGTTTCCAGTGGCCTGCTCTGGTGAACAGAAGAGGAGAAAAGGGGAAGAGGAGCATGCACGAGTATGAGGTAACAGGTTCACGTAGTGGGAAGCTATGGTTTCCCATTACAGCTGAACCAGGCCAATGAACAATGGCAGACCTGCAGCCCACAAGTCTAATCTGACCTTCTTTTGCTCAGCAGTTTGGAAACAATA